AGGGGAGGGGGGGTGGAAGGGGAAAAAAAAGGGGGGGGGGGGTGGAGGCATGAATAGGGTACGTATCGGTATCAATACAAGATACATGTGTACTTCAAGTATGCATCTCGTCGCATTATTTGACCAAGAGGACGAATCCGGCGAGAGATACGAGTTACGGCTACTTCGTAATGATCCGAAAGGAGTACAGATTACAGATTATAGATTACAGAGCTACAAGATGCACACACTCCCCCCTTCCTTCTATTCTTGCTCGATGAGCCTGACCCCATGTGCCCTCATCGGCGGCGACGCGTCCCGAGTGAGCGGCAGACGCCATCCGAGCATCTGTACGAGTAGACTGGTATTATTCAAAACTTGTAACGACTTTCCAATTCTAAAGTGCGTGTCTGGAGTACAGAATTTCTAAACGTGCTATCCGAGAGGGGTGAGTGTGTAATAATACATCATACACCTACAGCTAGGTCTGAGTCTCTCATTCTATCATTCTCTCTCTCTCTCTCTCTCTCTCCGCGGGTGGCCCATAGAGCGGCGCACTGATAACAAACTCCGGAATCGTCCGCGTAATGAACACCTTGCCTTTTTTCCCCCTCTGACAGTCTGACCATACTTGGCTCATCTACATGCCTCCCTGGTGATTATTAGAGAGGAGCAATAAACAAGACCACAGACCACATTACACCTGTACAGTATTAATGACCTTGAGGGGGGGGGGGGGTTTCCACACATGAAGAAAAGGAAATCACATGTGAAAAATTTTCCAAGGAATTTTTTTTCAAATTTCACAAGAAATTCTGTCACTGTTTTATTCTTCTTTTTTTCAGTGCGTTTGCCCCCTTTTTAGATTCGCAAGACTCCCATGATTCTTATCGTATGCCAAAATACGGAGTACGTCTACGTCACATGTTCTGTGGGATGGAGATGGGGCGCTCGGGGGAGTGCTGGAAGTTCTTTGGACGCTAAACCAGCCCAGGGAGACACACACGATGATCCTTACTGCTACTATCATACTATCATCACTAACTGCTATTCTTACTATTACTGCTACTACTGTACTGCTGCTACTGTACTATCCTGGCGTTACCAACGTCGCCATCTACTACTAGTCCGTACCCAAATCCCGTCATCATCCACAGCCCGGGTTAACGTGGTCAAGATCGTCTGGGGGGGGGGGGGATTTTACCAGCGAATCGTGAGTAGATGGTGCCTCACGATCATGACGCTTCTCTTACCAATGGACGATATACCGACCCGCTCAACTCAGCCCTTCCCTACAACCTTGTCCATCCTTTTTTTCTCTTCTCCTCCCGCTCCCTGGCTGGTAAGAAACATTTCCATACATATATTGCCACTCGTAAGATACAATCTACCCTTGTAGTTCCATTACTTTAAAAAAACTTTCCTAATAATACGACGAGCCTTCCCCCCCTCCCCCCCCCCCATCCTCTTGCTCCGTATAACTACCGACACGAAAACGCCAACGTCCTGATGTTTCCGGGTAGATAATAATGCGCGCAACAACTAGAACCATGAGCCGCCTTGGTCACTCGTAGAACCAATCCCCCCACCCCTTCCATTCTCCATCTCATCCATGTTATTCGTCAGGACTCGTCTTATTTCATCATGCGTATTATCAGTCTCTGCCGTCTGCTGCAGATGTCTGCCCCTCTCCTAGTC